TTTTTTTTTTTTTTTTTTTTTTTTTTTTTGGAAAAGGAAGCTTTTTTTGCAGTTATACCAATTTTGTAGGAGCGTTTTGCTGCATATAAAAGTAAACAAATAAGTTGATAAGGACGACTTAACTGACTACTTACCTGCTGTGCATCTGTGCTAAGCTGTATTACTGTTGCCATAAGTTGTTGCAACAGAGCCTTATTACTTCAATGGCTTTTATAGTCATTACTAGTTCTTTTTTTAGATGAAAGGAAGCAGCATTTCTTTTTGTTACTCTACCATAACTAATTTTACTTAATTTTTTGTGTTAATTTGAGTCAAATTTTGGTATAATCCATGAGTTCCGCAGAAATTATTCCAACTCTTTATTTTAAAAAAAATCGTTTCATTTTTTCATTTTTCCACTGTTTTATTCGCTTCCTTCTCAATAATGACTAAAAAACAGATTTGTTAAATCTTTCAATGGATGTTTTGCTGAAAATGGTGATAATTCTGTGCTTTTTTTTCTGCTTAGAGGAATATTCTTTTAATCATTTTGCAGGTAATAATTTATGATTGATCCGAAGATGCGGGCACAACCAACGGAATTATAATAGAGCAGTCGCACAAGTTTAGTTTGTAACTTTTTCTCGTTATAGAATTTTACTTGACTGCTCTTGGCTAGTACTGCTCGGCCACAGCGGTGAGTTTGAAAAACTTACTTATTTTTAACCGTAGTATCATTTTAAACCACCCTATTAACCGGGGAATGTTTAGTTTTGTCTAGCAATTTGTTGTGAGAAAAAGTGAACCGTTTTTTATGTACATTAATTGATAAGAGGCGTTTAAGTGTCGTTTTCATAACAATCATAATTGTGTTCACAACTGTAATGTAATTGGTCAAATAGTCAAACAATAAAAAAGAAAAACTTGAAATATTATGCAGCTCTTAATGGTCAATGAACATAAAGGTCGCAGATGTGTTTATCGAAAAGGAGTAGGTGTTGGATGAGCTCAGGAGGTTCTGTTGTAGTAGGATTTATTTGTTCAGCAGGGTAAAGTGCCTTAAGTACATGTCTAGTAGGCTCAGTTAACTAATGCTTTCAGTTGACCGCTGTTGTCTCACACTGTTTCAACAACAGCCAATAATAATTTTCAAAGTATCATTTTGATTGTCTGATGTTCCAGAAGTTATTGAAGCATCATTCGGTCGTTAGGGTCGGGTTTCATGAATTAAAAGGGTGTATATTGGTTCGCGCCAAAGGTCAACAAGCTCCAGTTTTTTCTAAACTTGTTACGAGGTCCATA